CTTCTCTTCCCTCTCCCAGGGATGTGACGCCACTACTAATACCCGAGTCTGCCCCAGTGGTCAGCTGCGCTGAGGTGTCCACATCACCCACCACTAACGAATCACACAGCTTGGGAGTACTACCCTTGAGCTTCTCAAGTAAGACCTGTGGATGAAGGAAAACTGTAACTGAGCGAAACTGTTATTGTGCTCGTCACAGAGCTTAAAACACTGTTAGAAAACAGCCCTTGGAAAATACGCGCGCTGATTGGTTAAAAATTGCGTTTCTACAACTCGAAAGAAACACAGAACTAGCACAAGCTGCTGACGTAATGATGGCGCGAGCAAAGATAATTTACATTTTGATGATCAAAGTAAACAAGTTGTTTTCTTTTTTTCGTCGCAGTGTCATCTAAAAGAAATAGAAAACATGTTCTCCGTGTTTATCTAAGATTTGAGTTTTGGAAACACTCGTGGACGTTTGGGAGAACTCAAAGAAGCTGTGCAAACACTCGCCTGAAAATCGAGAGCGAATAATCTAATTGTCTTAGTATAAATCTACTAGTCGTTCAAAACTTTATCTAAATCCTATTCACAGACACTTCGAAAACGCAAAGAAGCGGCCGTCATTTTGTGAACAAGAGCACACTGGTACGCTACTCACTATCTCTCACAGAATAGATAGTGAGTAGCGTAGCCAATCAGAGAACGGCATTCGTGATAGAACGCTGGTAGATTTATACTAAAATTCGATGGAAACACAGTACATGTTGTCTCTTTCTTAATTAAAAGGGTTAGAATTGGTTATGTTATGGCTTGCTCCAAATAGTAAACAGAAGAGGTAAGTTTCAATACACACATCCTCTGACAAGTGTTTGTGTGACTGTGTACCTTGGTTGGAGGCATTCCAATGTATGGCACAGTTCCTCGCGCAAGCTGTATAGCAGTGATACCAACACTGTAAATATCAGACTTGACATCATATCCTTGGAGATCCTGCTTAAAAGGAAAATTGAATCAGATGTAAATGTATCTGTAAACTGGCCAGCTACCCATCAGTTATCTGAGGTTATGTTTGTAATAAAAAAGGGGCATGAACGAATCCATGGCATTGCTGTTGAGTGCAGTGTGGCTGAGTGGTTAGGGTGCCGGACTTGAAATCAGGAGGTCGCAGGTTCAAGTCTTGCTCTGACCACTTAGCCGGAGTTGTTTCTCGGTAGACCCTAGTTCAACTCCTTGGTCATGCTTATAAATAGCCAAATGGTCAGCCTCCCGCCAGTTGGGATTTTTAACCATTATTTGTTTCATCATAATTTGATTTCATTAGCCCTGAAAAGCCCCATTGGGGGAGTGGTCAATTAAGATATTTATTTTTATATATTTAGTGCGTGGAGTGGTGATTTGATCTGTTTTCTCGCTGGTAACCATGGCTCAGGAAGATGAGACCAGTAATATCATAAAAATATTCTGACAGTGGCAGCCAGAGATACATACTGCGTCAAAGATCGGCCCTGCAGTTACAAAATGAACTTATAGGCCCTGGGCAAAAATAATGCCTGAAAAACAACACAGGCTCAGAACACAAGACTTTGTAATACTGGTGAAGTGCTTTAAAAACTGAGCTGTCAGGCCAACTTGGAGCAGCATGTTCAAATTGTGAGTTGCAATACAATATCTAGCACAGCTTTTTACTCAGCCATTTTTAGCTCTTGTGTGCCAAAGCTTCTGACCTGTTGTAAGATCTCTGGTGCCATCCAAGGTAAAACAGCGACTGCATGTGAAGGAAAATGATGAGCCATTCTTGACTTGCTGCCTTCTTGCGGCAGCATTATGGACTTTCTCAGTCCTGACAGACACACTGCACCATCCGTACCAATCAATATATGACTTCCTTTTACTGCCCTGTTGGTAAAAAGTTACATATTTGTTGTGATGACTGTCAAATATATCTTACTTTTTAACCAGGAGTGATAAATACCTATAGCACACTCAGAAATAAAGATAAAGAATGGTTGGAGGACCAGGGATGGTGCAGTGGTAAGAGTGCTTACCTCCCACCAATGTGACCCGGGTTCGATTCTGGCCTAGTGCCACATGCGGGTTGAGTTTGTTGTTGATTCTCGCCTTGCCCCAAGGGTTTTTCTCTTGGTTTTCCTGTTTTCCTTCCTCCTTTAAAATCATCACTCCAAATTCCAATTTGACCAATATAGAGGAACCGTATGAAAACAAGCTAAAGCTGATGTGGCTTCCTCTCTAAATACTGTAATTCGATTGTTTGTGTTTGCAACTTTTGCCTGACTTATTCATTCTTGAGTGAGAAAATACTTGAGCTGAATACAATCTACCTGTGAATAATGCCCATTTTGTGAAGATAATCCAGCCCCTGAAGAATCTCCCACAGAATAGCAGCAATAAGAATCTCACTCATTCCCTCTGGAAAACTAGACTTCAGCATATCGGCACAGGACCCTGGAAATATATTAACTGAATCATAATCATCATCAAAGTTCACTTTTTCATGATGTGGATAAAAGTAAAACAGAAAACATTACAAACTTTACAGTTGTTGTTCAGGTGAGAGGTGAACAAAAATAATATGTTAAACATTATGGAATAATAAGGACCTCGACGGAAGTTGCCATGCAAGGCCACAATAATTTACAATAAAAACATGGATGTTGGAGACATACCAAATTGCATGAGAGGAAGAATATTCCATACTTCTTGTCTGGTCACAAATGAACAGTAACATGGCAGAATATTTGGATGACAGAGAGATCGCAACACTTGGACTTCATACTACAGCAAATGATTATGAAACATCACATGAAGTTAGAACACAAAAAGTATACAAAACATTAAGCTTTTTGGCAACTCATCTAGAAAGGTTGGGTTTAAAACTTGAACAAATTATTTCAATTTTTTGAAATAATTATCATAATGGTAAACGTACATGACATTTAGCATTAAAACAAAAACTTGAAATATATATTAGAATTTTTAAAAACAAAACAATTCTTTTTCATTGTTGGCAACAACTTCAGCAGAACTGTGCAAAGGATGAATCATGATGTGCAATCACGATTTACAGGCCAATCATGTTTTGAAACATGGTCTAGTTCTACTCACTGAAATCAGATGCTAGCGCAAGGTAAATACACATAATAAAGAAGAGGCAGAGATCTTCTTTTTGCTGACTTACAGTTCACTGATCCTTCTGGCGATAAAAATCAACTCATGTCATGATGTAAATTATGCAATTATATAATAATTATATGTCGAGCTGTGAGAACTTCAAAACAGGCACAAACCTTCAAATTTTCAAACTGTTCAGCATTCTGAACATCCACATTTGTCTGCTTTACAACTACAAGTGTTTGTGATGAGCAATGACGAGCGACAAACACTTTAGAAAGCCCACCAAAGCCTTGACCTACAAAATAACAGTTTTAAACGAAGACAAATGTTAACTCTACACACCGCTTTAATAATGTACCTGTAGACAGCTTTGTTCATTTCGGTCAACAACATAACAATATTTATTTATTATAAGACAGATACACTGTAATTACGAATTAGAAATTACAGTATGAACTGTCCAACTACATGTATTTTTGCACTAGAAATATTTGTTTGACTGTCACAGAGTTGATCATGGAGCTACATGTAACATCGATATCATTTAGAAATATTTATGTACTCTGGCATTCCATCCCTTCCCAGTTTTCTCTTGCCATAGTACTTAACCCTTAGTGGTGTAACAATTAATCAAATTCTCGGTTAATCACGATTATGACCATTCGGTTTAATTCACAATTCTTTGATTCCATGTTTCGATTTTGGTTCAATTTTTTGCATACCTTTTCCAGGGTGCCCTCAGTGAGTTATTATATTGTGAAATCAGAATCCAGAACTCTTTAAAATGTGCATTTTTGATTGACGAGCAAAGACGTTTGAAGTTCTTGCGCCATTTTGTGTTGCTTGGTTAAATGTTGCCCTTCTACCACCCCTTGAAAATTTCCAAATAAGGCAAACCACGTGCGACACGCTCATTGTCACGTTCTCAAACATGGCGATGAATGGTTTAGGGTTGTATGCTGCTTACATTGTGTATCATGTTGTACGAATTTAAAAACATTAATATTTTGCATAATCAAATTGAAATAATCAAAATCGAAAGGCAATAAGCAACACTGAATCGAATCGCAAGGAGTATGAATCGTTACACCCCTATTAACCCTAGATGGAGGCTGGATGATTGAGCCTGTCAGTTGAATGATTCTGGAACAAAACATTAAAGTGGGACTGCTGACAATCCACTAAAAAAAGATAAAAAAAAAGTCTACAGCAAAAATATTATTAATTAAATAAACATCTTCTCACCAATGAAACTTAGTAATGAATAATCTTCAGGGTTTGGAAGACACATTACTCTTGGTTGGTGACTACTCAAAACTTCAGACATCGTTGAACAAAGAGGAGATTGCTGCTGGTGATTTAACAATGAGTTCATGCAAGAATTAAAATGGATAACTGTAAACAATCACCATTAATGATTAAATAATATATCAAATAATTTATTCAGATTACATTTTGATTGGTTCTTATTTATGATCTATTGGAAGACAGACGTATAGATGACATCATTAACAATTTTCTTGTTTCTTTTTTACCGTATGTAAAACAGATAGATTCCATGTTGTCATGCATCTGTTCAGTAACAGATCACAGAAGACATTCAAATATGGTAAAAACATCAGTGACACAGTCGCCTAACGGCTCATTTGCCAGTTTTTTGTTCTTACTGCATTTTGAAAAATATTGCAAACTGAAGAATAGTAGACTTCTAATTGAATTGTGCATGACTAACTGACAAGCATGTGGCTCAATTGAGTCACTGGTGTTCTAATTCAAGTCTGTAACAGAAATCTTGAGAGTTGCTCGTCTCTTCAAGCTTGCGCAGTAAGGAACAAAGACTAGGAAAAAGGTTGGTGGTTTTCAGAATAGGAAACCTGCAGCTACCAGCCTTTGATGTGCATTGGGGGATCATAGGGTCCATGTAAGGCAACTACATGCTATTAAGAATTAGGATAAATTTGAATTAGCTATATAATTTCTTCTATAAGATAGGAATACAAACCTGATTTGGAACTTGATTCACAACTTCTTCGGGAGAGACGGCTACATGTGCCGTGTCAACACAAATACACTGCAAAGAAATGTGCTTAATAAGCTTGAACATGGTTCACATAATTTGTCAGTGACAAAAAATAAGCCTATATTTTAACTCTATTCACCATTCACACAGCACACATTTACACAAATAGGACAGTTTCCTGCATACCAAGTGTGACATGAATCCATTTAATAATTGAGGTCACAGTTGACGAGAGCTAGATATTTCAAGTCAAGACAGATCAAAGCTCATGCAAAACCACGAGTGGATCACGACCATGTTGGATTGATTGGAACACAAGAAATATCACGCATTTGTACAGCTGAACCTTGGCATAAGTACGTGATCCTTTCTGTTCGATCAAAACAACAAAGCTTTTACATAGGACTGACGGCACAAACAGAACACACTATGAGAATTGTGACAAAGAAGTTGAGTTCACAACTGCTTGTTGATCTTCTTGAACGAGTGTGTTGTTGACCAGAACAATCGGGTCTTCTTGTCAGCGGATAATTATTGATCGCTTTGTATTTCTAATAAATACTACAAAAATTACACTTCTTACAGCCAAGTCCTCGGTAGTATAGTGGTGAGTATCCCCGCCTGTCACGCGGGAGACCGGGGTTCGATTCCCCGCCGGGGAGGGCAATACTTTTTCTTCTTTTTTTTTTTTTTTTTTTTTTTTTTATNGTTTAGTCAGGTTTTTTTAGCTGCCATGACGCTAAATAAGCCTAAGTTTTGCTAAAAAAGATTTTTTTTTTTCTAAAAGGAGAGATTTTTTGAGGATTATATTATTCTTGGGTTCAACTTTTAAATGCGCTGCTTCATCTACAATAGAGGCATTACTTTTTTCTTTTTTTTTTTTTTTTTTCTCTCAGATTTCTATTTCTTCTTTTCGATTCTATCTCGTTATGTTATGCAAACATTTGAAAAGTACATATTTACAGGATAGTAAAATAAATGATTTTACGATCAGTATATTTAAACCAGTATAGAATACAGTGCGATGTCAAGACAAAGTCTTTTAGTCAGAGTAAGTGGATATCAACAAAACATAGGTCTGTTTGTCCTTTTAAAGAGCTATAAGCTAGAGAGCAGGCTTTACCTAAAGATGATTTCCAGTCCGTACTGCGCAGTCTCGGCACCCTAATATTTTATAAAATAATTTTATAAACATAAAAAAACACTCACTCGATAGACTGCGAATCGATGTCGTTGCGAACCACATACCTTACCTTTGAGGTCTTTCAAATTCTTTTTCCAGCTGCTTCATAGATTTTTACAGCTGCAAAGATGTTTCATCAAGTTATATGAGAAAGAACGAACATAAAGCATTTCCGTCCGTAGTGGCGCTTTGAATTTCCATCATGTAAGTACAAGTTGCGAAATGTTCACATTTTGTGACGTCACGAATGAAACAAAACTAAAAACGTAGACAAACGCTCGAGAGTGCGCAGTACAGACTGGAAATCATCTTTAATGCTCAAAGGACAGAACCGCCTAAGGGCCTGTTTACAAGGAGAGAGGATGACCCTAGCAAGCAGGTTACCCGAGCAAGCGGGTTACCCTAGCAGCCAGGCAGCCAGGGTTACCCGGGTAGGTGGGTTACCCTATCTGCGTGCTAGGGTTACCCTGGCAGGCGGGTTAACGTTTTCCCTTCTAAACACTCCAGGTAGGGTTAACCCGCCTACCCAGGTTAACTTTCTGATTGTTTCCAGACCCTTTGAGTGTAACCGCGCATTAAAGGAGCTACGCCACGGTTTGCGCATATTCAAGTTGAGCCTCAATTTTTCAAAATCGTTGTTTGTAATCCGTGTCAATCTTCTCCATCCTTAGCCCTCCTTGTTCCTTTATGGTTTATCATTATGTCTTTGGTGTTTTTCTATCTTATTAAACTGTCATTTTCAGGTTTCCTACCATTTAAAGGTAATTTTCATATGTGGACAAAATAACTCAAAATACGTGACTAAGCTCCTTTAAGTTGTCTCGGGTTGTGGGGTTAATCTATAAACTCTTGGTCTTCGGCCACCGTAGCTTGATTGAAAATATAAAACAAACAGCAATGATAAACATTTTAAAAACACGCATTTTATGAACTTGACGTTTCGTATGCTAGTCAACATACATTTTCAAAAGGTATAACCGTTAAAATGTTTTGGAAAGCTATTTATGCTGTATCAATGGCGGTCTGGAACCTAGACAGAAAAACATCTGCAGTAGAAATTTAAGACGTTTCAAACGGAAACTGTCTGTAAAGTAAACAATGGAAAAGCTTTCTTAGTAATTAAGTAAGAGGTTTTCACTGCTGACATTGGCATTCAATGCTGGCTGCAACTCCTGAATAAATAAGGTCTCCTTAATCTCGTAATGGTAGTCAGACTTGCCTGACGCCAAAATGTCAAAATGGTCCCATTTGATGTTGTGACCAGTTGTTTTAACGTGATCAGCAA